TTCCCCATCCACGCCATTCCCCATGATGTTCTGCCTCACCTTGGGCCCAGAGCTATGGGGTGAACCAACCATGGACTGAACCTCTGAAACTGTGAGTCAAAATAAAATTTCCCCCTTTAAATTGTTCTTATCAGGTCTTTTGGTCACACTGATGAAAAAGCTGCCTAAAACAGAGTCTAATAATGAAAGTAACTTAGAAAGCAGAGTGGTTGCCTAGCATGTGTAGGGCCCTGGATTCAATCACTAGATCACACACACACAAAAAAAAATAGTTTTGCCTTTACACAACCTGTAATTCCAGCAGGATTAGGGGAAAACAGGTTTGGTAGTGGCATGCAACACAAACTGTTGTATATGTAATGTCTGAAATGTTGTATATGTACAGTCTGCCTCAAAAAAATTCCTCAGTAATACAGAAAGAACAAAATAATGCTTGAATGCAATACATGTAAAAAAAAAAAAAAAAAAGAAGAAGAAGAAAGAAAGAAAAGTATCCAGCACAGTGAGGCATCCCTGTAATCCCAGTGACTACAGACAGGAGGAATTCAAGGTTTGAGGCCAGCCTAGGCAACTTAGCAAGAATCTGTCTCATAAGATAAAAAGGACCAGGGATATAGCTCAGTGGTTGAGTGCCCTGAGGTTCAATCTCCAGTACTACTATTCAAATAAATAAATAAATAATGTTAATTAACAAATAAATATGTAAACAGTAACCATTAAACACTTGTTTTTCCTGATCTGGTGAGTGCTCACTCACAGCATAAAATAATTCCTTGCATTCTTAAAACAAATATGAGGGGTATAATTAAATGTTCATCTGATAGGTCCAGTGAAATGATAACATTAGTTATTACCATATAGTACCCACATGATAGGTGCTTTGCACTTATGCCCCTTCAGAAGACAGTCCCTTTGCTCTGACACTCAGGATGCTTGGGTTTTGTTTTCTCTAATTCCTGTTCTTTCCCCAGGCTATCACCTGTCATCTCTTAGTACTATTTATGCACAAACTATAGAAACACCTTTTGTGGTTACGTTTTTACAACTGAATATTTGAATGGCTCTGGCTTCAATGAATTTCATGTCTTAAGATTGGGAAATAACAAAAGCTGGCCGTCAACCAGCTTGAAATATTATTTGACCTTTTGGTTTGAAATGCTATAGAAAGAAATATGTTTATAAAATTAATACTTATTTACTTGAAATCCTGGTGAACCTCACTCCATAAAGTTGATAGCTTAGCTACATGACATTTAATACTTGTTCCAGGTTTCCTTCCTCCTAACTTTACCTGTTTTCAGAGGAACCTGCAAGAAGAGCAAATGCCTTTGGAAGCACAGCTAACCAGCATATTCTAAATATCAACTGTGCCTAGGTTGGGTATCACTATCACCAAGATGACAGCGTACGGAAAAAAATAAGTTTAACTTTATGAATGTATCTCTTTCTATAACATTTCAAACCAAAAGGCCAAATAATAACCCCCCCCAAAAAAAAGAATCACAAGAAATAAAAAAGGATTCAAATGTTGAACCAAAGTTCATCAAATCATATTTCACTTGATTTACAAAGAAAAGTAATTTTTCTCTGTTTGGACACATTAAAGTAGGAGAGACACCCAGCCAGTGTTTTTATTTAATGTTTTCCAAATGATCTCTGAATTATTAGATGCTATGCAGTATTTTCAAAACTATCTTGTAGATTTCAAAAGCCTGGAAAATTGTCTTAGGAAACTGCAAATCTTTTAGGTCACTGAACAGATTCTGGAACAGATCGTCGCACACCAGCTCATACTAAAGAAATATGGCCATTGATGGGGTTCAGGAGATGTTATCCCAAAATATGGCACTTTGGCATTTGAGACAACAACAGTAGAAGCAGGAAGGTCACTCTGGCCTTTCCCTCACCACCCTCTACCCTGAAGCAAACCACAAAAACCAAGCTGACCCAGAGGGATCCTCCTCACATGCAGGGGGATGTTCTTTGAGAGCCTGGGGACACAGAGAAGAATCTGAACAAACATCCTGCAGCTGTTAAGTTCCTCCCAGTTTATTATTTGATCACATCCCCTTTGTCCAGTCATTCTTCTGTATGTCTATCCAACCAGACTAAGCAAAAGTATACCCAGGTTTCCCTGATCCTCTGAATTTTCATTTCTGAAAGCGCCCATGTCATACAAAACATTACATAAGTTTGTATGCTTTTTTCCCTCATTAATCTGTATTTTGTTTTAAGGTCTCAGCTATTGCCTAGCAATGGGTGGGAAAATATATATATATATATATTTTTTTTTTTTTTCCCATACGCTGTCATCTTGGTGACAGTGATACCTAACCTAGATACAGTTTACCTGGGAGAAAGACTTGAACATGCTTCTCAATTAGTTTTTGACCTTCCTTGCCAAGTTGTATATAGTGAATATAAGTAGCCAATGGAAATAATTTACTTTGAATTATGTGTGAACTATATATAATGATTGATCATGATCATTTTTATTTAAAAATATTTCATGCAGTATACTCTGATATTTTGAATATATTGATGATCAGATCCACACATGGGATTGTCAAGGATTATTAAGAAGTCTCTCCCATTTCAGTTATCAGAAAATGAATAGTCGGGGGTACAGTTCAGTGGCAGAATGTTTGCTTAGCATGTGCAAAGCCCTGGGTTCCATTCCCAGCAAAAAACAAGAAAAGAGAGAGTGAGTCATGAAGACAGGGAGGATGGAAAGAAGGAAGAAAGGAAGGGAAAGAACTAACAAAAAACAAAAACCAGACAAGCTTAGAATGAATTGTGTGCAAAACCCTTTTTGACACTAGACATTGTCAATGTTTTACAGTTACAGACATTCAGCAACTTACAGATAAATTACTGAAAGATAAGTAAAATACTGTCCTTGACTTCAAGCAAGGTAGAGTATAGTAGGAGAGACAGAAATATTAAATAAAATGCAAAGGAGGTGAAATATGTGTTGAGGTAGGTTAGTGGTAGGACAAATGTGATATCTCTTGCTGGATGGCTCAAGGAATATATCCAGAAGTGAAGATTTCTCATCTGGGTTCTAAAGGATGAGAAGGAGTTTTCCAGTAACAAGTTACAAATAGAACAAATAGAAAAAGAAAAGAACATCTCAGGAGGAGAGAGAGTAGCATACATAAGTATGTAATAGAAAAGTTTATGAGGGAATTATAAGTGGTTTGCTAAGGTTAATGGAGAGGACGTGTATGAAACTGGAGGTAAACAATTCTGTACTAATTACATAGAAGGCAAATTATGCAAGGCCTTGAGTTTATTGAGGAGTTTTCTTTATCCTAGAGTGGAAAGTCATGAAAGCTTTTTAAACAGATGAGGAAAAAGATGACTAGGTAGAAGCATATTATTTTCTTCCTTCTTATAGCAAAATGAAGTTAGCTTTTATTTCCTGTTGGTGGCAACGTTTCAGATACATGAATAGGTGTCTCTTTAATATTTTATTTCAATACAAGGATAGTGAAGACATCTTGCTCACCTTTTGCATGCTCAAATTTGTTTACTTAAAAAGCAGCTACCAAGCCAGGTGTGGTGGCTCACATTTGTAAACCCAGATGCTTCAAGGCTGAGGCGGGAGGATTGTAAATTTGGGGCCAGCTTGGGCAACTTAGCAAGACTCTGTCTCAAAATAAAAAAATTAAAGGGGCTGGGGAGGAGCCTCAGTGGTAGAGTGCTTGCTTAGCATATGTGAGTCCCTGGGTTCAATGTCCACTATTAAAAAAATATAAAAATAAAAGCAACTAGATATACATCTTCTATGATACATGCTGGAAAAAGCAAGTCAACAGTCCTCAGTCATGTTAGAACCCCTCACAGAAAATTACTTTCTGCATCTGACAATCAACCTCAGGGACAGCTGGCTAATCAGGCCACATAAACATCTCACTGATATTTTTCTTTTTCTTCTTTCCCTTCCTTCCTTCCTTCCTTCCTTCCTTCCTTCCTTCCTTCCTTCCTTCCTTCCTTCCTTCCTTCCTTCCTTCCTCCCTCCCTCCCTCCCTTCCTTCCTTTTTTCCACACTATATTTATAGACTGAACCCAGGAGGCTCTATCGACCACTGAACTACATCCCCAGTTGTTTTTATTTTATTTTATTTTTCATTTTGGGACAGGGTTTTGCTTATTTACCCAGGCTGGCTTCAAACTTGTGATCCTCCTGCTTTAACCCCTCTAACTGCTGAGATTACAGGCGTGCACCACCAAGCACAGCCATTGTATTGATTTTAAAAGGAAAGAACTCTGACTATAAATGGTTTTAGGAAGTCTTATCTTTTACTTTACCTTAAAGGCAACATAAATTCCATGACATACCCCTCCTCTGGTCCTCTCAGACTCAAGGACAACAGATTTACAAGGCAAAGAGGCTTCACCTCACCTCTCTTGCCCTGCTAAACAGATTGTTGGTCAAAGCCCAAGCTCTGGAGGAAGCCTGGAGCCACTGCCACCTTGCAAGGGCACAAATAAAAAATGACAGAAGCAGGGGCACGCAAAACCTTGGTCACAAAAGTCTGTGCAATGAAATGAACAAAGTAAATGGCTAGCACAAAGTCCCAGCACTGCTACATTTTAACAAATGGAAAGGTTTATATGGAAAGGCCGCCAAAAGCTTAAGCAAAACCCTTACTCCATGAAACCCATCCATAAAACCAGAATAACAGTATCAACCTTGGAAGGTTGTTGTTGAGAAATTAAGCAAATAACACACACAAAGTGCTTGGAAGGTAGTCTTGCACTTGGTGAGCACTTGATGATAAATTACAGGACTGTCGTGATTATATGTGGCACAGGATGAGCATCATAAATTAGAGTATCATTAATATTATACCTCATAACTTCCCTCTAACTATTCCAACTTATGAATCTCCAAGAGGTTCTTACTTCTGTCAAAGAATATTTGCTCAATACCGTAATTAAGTTAAATAATTATTAGAATGTTTTCAGTGAAAAGATTAATAGCTCTTCTTTACCTCTTCATATCTGTCAAAAACTGCTCCTTCTTGCAAAAAGGAAGGGACTTCCTTCTGCCAGTTAAATTCATAAGGTTTGGCCATGATGATATTCAAGACCTAAAAATGAACAAAGAATATCTCATTAGTGTATGATGTTAAAACACAAGTGGCCATCCAATGTTTACCACCTTGCATTTACGTATCTGAAATGGCTTTTCTCTAAATATGCAGAATAAGTCCATAAATTATCATTCTTTTGTTTTCTCTTCTCTTTATCTGACTCCAACTTTTCTTCCAGGCTTTTACCCTGGAGAGAAATTATTATTTTATACATTACATGCTGTAAAACAGATCTTCAGAGAAAAAAATGGACCTTCAATAAACAATTACAGGACAGCTAAAAGTTAGCATAAAAGACAGATTAGAAAACAAGATGATGCCAGGCTCCTCAGTGGTGCATGCCTGTAATCCTAGGAGGATCACCAGTTCAAGGCCAGCCTCAGCCATTTAGGGAGGCCCTAAGCATGATAAGAAAGAAAAAAATAAAATAAAATTTAAAAATGCAAGGGACAAGGATATCTCAGTGGTAAAGTGTCCTTGGGTTCAACTTCTAGTACCAAAATATATATGTATTTTTTAGTACATATATATATATATTTTATATACACATATATTTATTTTTAATATATATTATTAAAAAAAATACAAGATGGTGAGGGCCGAGTTTTAGCTCAGTGGTTGAACATATGTTCCACATGTGAGGCACTGGGTTTAATTCGAAGCACCAAAATAAAATAAATCAACAAGGATGGCCTCGTTATTTGGCAGACTACAGAACACGATGGCAAAACATCCCTCCTCTGCTGACCTTTATGTGTTCTGTGATGTTCTCGTTCTTGACAACCATCCCTTTAAATTTTTCTCTTTGGTTTCATTTTCAAAGGAATAGCAAAAAGAGGCATCTGATATAAAAAGCTCATGTCAGAGATAAAAAGAAAGCTTTTATCCACGTGCATCATTGTTCACTGGTCTAGCTCTGGTTCTCCCAGGATCAACCTAAGTGCCCAGTACATGATGCTTTTTAGACATCACTGCTATTCTTGCTACTAAACTATTCATCTCCCTTTTGGGTACCAATTTCATCAAAATGGTCTTATTATATGAAGGACTCTAGCAGGTGCAGAGGCTGATGGAAGGATTTAGGATTTGGAGGGTGACGGATTTAGACGCTGATCTCTAAAGGAGATCTGCAGTGAAGTTGGGAATACTTGAATACTCCTCCTGCCCCCCGCCCCAGAGTTTTGGGTTCAAAACAAGGTAAGAGGTATTTTGGAAAAAATGATATTAAAGTATCCCCTCTTTTTCCCCCCAATTTGAAACTGGGGAAGGGAAAGCTTTTTTCTGTGATATCTCTGAAATGCTTCCCTGAGTTTGGCATTAGAGGCAGTCTCTGGCTTGTTTTAAATAGGTGGTACAACTATGACCAACAGATTAGAAAATGCCTGACCCAGCCAATTACAGTTTACAACAGTTTAATCCAGGTCACTGATTTAAAAATGGGAACAAATGAAGTTCAACAGACTTCACATAAAGTTAAAGGGACAGATACTTCCTTTTAAAGGTATGCAGGGAGACGGACAGCGGGCTGATCACTCTATATAACTATATCCTTTTTTCAATTATCCAAAATCCCCACCCACAGCTAATTACAAAATGCTTTCACTAGGCCCTGCCAAAAGTTCCTCTTCTTTAATCCTCTAGCTTGCCCTGTACAGATTCACTCACATTTCATTACCTCCTCACCCACTTCAAGGGTACCACCTCACCATACAGAGGAAGGGAGCAGCCTTCTGGAGGAACCCAGGAAGTCAAGGTGGATTTACAAAGTCAAAGAATTGATAGATAGCCCGGCATCTTTTCCAGTGTAAACACCATGAGCAGTTACTGGAAGGGAGCCAAAGGGCTTTTAAATAGTCTCATTGTTTCTAGATTCTTATGCAACTGAAGGGGTTAGTTATTGCACTGACTACAGAGGAAAAACTCTGGGCAGCAGAGAGCTTGGTAGAATGGGAACCAAAGAGCATGGGAGTCCTATGTGGCCTTATTTCATAATAAATGACATAGAGCTCCTTCTATAAAAGATGATGAGGCACTCAAAGAGTTAGTAGAAGGAGCACAAAGGAGCCAAGGTGGGCTGTTGAGCGATCAGATATATAAGCAGCATAAACACAAAGCACAACACCCACGAAGATGGTCTCCCACCAGTTCAACTGAAGTCAACCAAGGAGGGGCAGCTGTTAGGTAGTAGCCAGCAATGAACAGTGAAATGCATTGTAAGGTCATAAGCATTCTTTAAATTACTTTAGGATCCTTCTTCAAACTATCTTAAGAAATCAAATGACAGCAGTTAATCCGTAGAAAACAAACAAAAACAAGGGAGCTATTTATAAAACACAAACACGTCAAGAAAAAAGGATTAATGGGACTATTCTTGACAGGGTCTACTGAGGTTGATGTGAAGTTAGGAATTATGGCTGTAAGTGTCTCCATTTGTCTGGGAAGGAAGAGTCCTTTAGTAGAGCAGGTGCACTAAGGTACCTTCTGACCAGCTATGGACCCCAATGCCCACATTAACATGGGATTGACTTGTAGATGAAGCTCCCCTAAACAGGTTGGCCACCATGACAGTTCCAGAGGACCGACTAAGGTCAAAAACTCCACCGTCCAACGTGAAGTTGAAGCTGAATACACCTGATTGGCAAAGAGTGCAGAAGTGGTCCCCAGGTCTCTTGATAAATATCAAACAGTAATAAATTTGGAGACAGCTTTGTCTCCTTTGTTCTCTGCTTAGAGATGGACCATTCTCTCTCTCTCTCTCTCTCTCTCTCTCTCTCTCTCTCTCTCTCTCTCTCTCGTCCTCTCTGTTTAAGCTTTGCTTTGCTTTTACTTTTTTACTTTTCTTTTATTTCACTTTATCTTTACTTTCACTTATAATGAAGTTCTCTGGCATGGCTTCTGGTGTCTGACTTTAACTTTTCTATCACTGGAACAAAAGAGCCGAGGTTTGGAGTTTCAGCTCCCTGTATTCCTGTGACACAGCCATTCAGGTTTTTGTGCTACTTGACCCTGCATCTTTATACCTGCTGTGTCACTAGACCTCTAAGATGATTTAAAAATATATATAATGACTGAATAAAAATCCAGTGTGTATGTATATATACCACATTTACTCAGCCATTAAGAAGAATGAAATTATGGCATTTGCTGGTAAATGGATGGGACTGGAGAACATCATGCTAAGTGAAATAAGCCAGACACAAGAAGTCAAAGGTCGAGTGTTTCCTCTCATATGTAGAAGCTAGAACCAACTAAGGGAAAAAAGAGGGGGGGGGGGCAGATCCCACAAAAAAGAGGAAGGATCAAAGGAGTACAGGAAGGGGAGAGAGGGTGAGGGAGAAGCCCTGGAAAGGGGAGGAACTGAGGAATGAAACTGACAAAATTATGCTATGCACATATATGAACATAACACAGAAAATTCCACCTTTATGTATATCTGCAAAACACCAATAAAAATAAATAAATAAATAAATAAATAGAAGGAAGAGTAGTAGGATAGCAAAAGGGAGTAGAGAGAAGGAGGGCAGGAGGGAAAGGAAGCACTGATATTTCCTGCATGTATGATTATAACATAATAAACCCCGCTATTATGAATAACTGATGTACTAATAAAAACCTTTTTAAAGTGTTGCTAGATCTATAAAAAGGTCCTTAAGATTTACTAAACCACCTATCCCAGATGTGCTGGGTCAACTAATAGAGTCAACATGCCCTGTCCCCCCAATACACAACCTCCTAGGCCAATCTGCATCAAATTTCAGTCAACAATTGCCCCCCCTCCCCAGCTGCCCTCCCTGGACAATGCTTAATTTTGTGGTTCAGAATGAACAGAAGTCAGTACATGAAAGCAGGCGTATTTGAGGTACATGGATATGATAGGCTGTATAAATGACTCCCTCAAAGATGCTCACACCCTGAACTGCAGTAAATTGCAGTGAATGTTACCTTATAGGACTAAAAAAAAAAAAAACCCTTGCAGATGTGATAATGATCTTGTATGGAGACATTATCCTGCATCTTCCAAGTGGGTCCTAACTGCCATCACAAGAGCCTAACTGCCATCACAAGAAGATTAGACAGTAACAGAAAAGGAGGAAATAGAAAGTGACTTAAATGTCACATGTCAGGAATGTTGAGACCACCAGAAAGTAGAGGAGGCCAGAGTCTGAAGAGAACATGGTTCTGAGGCATGTAGATTTCAACCTGCTGGCCTCCAAAATAAAATGGTGCTGTTTTCAACTACTAGTTTGTGGTGATTTTTTTTTTTAGCAGCCCCAGGAAGCATATCATGTACATGCAGCCAACTGAAGCTGGACATCTTTCCTATAAGGTCTAGAAAATTGCCAAAACAATCTGGAATGTAATAGAGGTGGCTCCAATTTGAAAGGAATGGTCATTTCACATATATCCATTCAGTGGAATCAAAAGAAGATGGAAACAAAAGTCCAGAATTAAATGGAATCTAGAAATGACTTCTCAACACTCTGCCCTTCTAGTCTGAAACCCCATTGAACTGTAAAGATATTATTTCTGAAGTATATACTTCCCCGAGTTCCAAATCTTTTTTAACAACTCTGCCTCTTAGCAATAAATATAAATATTAAATAAACCCTGAAGCTTCCCCCAAGTCAACCAAGACAGTCTCCATTTTTTTTTATTTCTATTTGTGAACTAATGAATTCATTTGAAAAAGCATTTGCTTCCACTAACATATAGCTTTCAATTGAATAAAAATGAACCATGCCAAGTTATGAATTTTATTAAGTGTAACTTTTAACCTACCCACAAAGAAGTTCCATAATGAAATAATCCCTTCCCCATCTAACCATGCACATCTCATTAAACCAAATAACCCATGACCTCAAATGACCCCATGATGAGAATAACCAAGATTGTTTTCAAGAACACAGAAAGTTGGGATAAAATTTCCACTGACTGAAAGTAAATTAGTTGGCTCTATCAAACACATTTCAATATCTTGCTCTTCCATCTTTG